GATATCTCTCTATTAATTGTTGGCTATACAGTCTCTACGGTCTGTTTTCTGTCAGAAATATTATATTTATTTCTTAATTATAAATTTAAAAATTAATATAAACTGTAAATAAATGACCAAATCAATAGATATTTATTAAAATTTTTAAATATAATTGTTTGTTGGTCTATTAGTCAACGACCCATTTTTTAATGATTAGTAAATTAATTTAAATATTTATCATTATTTCTAATTAAATTTAGTGATGTAGTTCATATTATATCTTAACTTATTATTAATTATGATTGATACTCACACATTTTATTTCAGTTAAATATTTATATAAATGCCACATGTTATTATATAAAATTGTTATTATTTTTATTATGATTTATATCAGTATTATAAAATATTGTATGTCAATTACAAATAATACATTATGTTATAATTTATACACTATGTAAATTTTAAGTAACACTGTTTAAAAATATATTTAAAAAATTTCATAATATTCTAATTTTAAATCTTAGTTATTAAAAGTATTAAGCTTAAATATATATAAAATCCATATTATAATATGTTCTCTCTATGATAAAATTGTAGTTAATATCATTAAATTATGACATTAATAAGTTTATTAATTACGAAAAAACTATATAAAAATTCTTACTATGTACTATTAAGTATATGCATCACAATTAATCATTGTATAAACGCTTATATCGATATAAACACCACATCAGGTGTAGTTAGAGGTCAGACTATATACGGGTTAAACGCCAGTATTGACCAGTTTTTAGGCATACCTTACGCCGAACCTCCCATCGGTCGACTCCGGTTCGCCAAACCTGTGCCCATCGCTACACCACTTCAGGTAAATTACATTTTATCATAATTTAATACATAATCTAATTTAATAACAAAGTTTAACTAATTATTACAATCATAAAATACAAGGACATTATCGACGGCAGTAAAACAAAGTACGCCTGCATTCAACCCATTAGTGCAGACTATGAGCGTATATACGGAAATGTAGCACAAAGTGAGGACTGTCTGGTGCTGAACATATGGTCACCCTATCGGCCACATAATAACACTCAATTGGCACTAAAACCAGTCATGTTTTGGATCCACGGCGGGTCACTGACCGTAGGGTCGGTATACGAGCGCACGACTCACTATATGTGGTTCAACGGTGCGGTACTGGCGGCCAATGGTGTGGTAGTGGTAACCGTTAACTACCGATTGGGTCCGTTTGGGTTTACATATGGAGGTGCGGATGAGACGGCGCCGGGAAATGCGGGTTTTTATGACCAGTTATTAGCACTCAAATGGGTATTTAATTTATATATTATTATGATTATAATTACTCTAGATAATTATTAATAAAATTTTTTACTTAACTTATGAACTTTGTAGAGTTGTGCCAATGTTGTTTTATAAAGAGCGATCAATTGTTAGTCTCAAAATGCATGTATAATTATTAAGATACTATGAAGAGCTTATAATCTAAATTTTAAAATAATTTTATAAAATGTTATAATTTAATTAAATTACATGACAATAGGTTAAAGAAAACATACACTTGTTCGGAGGAGACAAAAACCTGGTCACTCTATTTGGTCACAGCGCCGGCAGTTGGTCCGTATCGGCGCACATACTCTCTCCGCTATCGAGGGGTCTCTTCCGGAGGGCTATTATGCAAAGCGGAGCCCTTTTATGGGACAAACGGCGGGGTATTGTCAACAAACTGGAGCCCCTTTCGGCCGCTAAACAAATGGCCACTGAATTGAACTGCACTTCCGATAACAACAACGAGTGGTTACAGTGTCTGAGAGGTGTCGGCGCCGATCAGCTCCGAGATGTGACTAAAGGGCATATATTTCCCATACAAGAGGGCACAGAGTTTTTGTCTGAACTGGCCATAGATGCATTTAATGATGGCCATTTTAATCCAGGTAACCCTGATAAATTAGATAGATCATTTTAGTTAGCTATGCTATTTTTCTAAATATAATTATAAATACATGACAGGTGTAGATATAATAGCCGGTGTCGCGCGCCGGGACGGCTCCAACCTTGCCCACGATTCCATACCATACCTGTCCGGAAATATAACCATGGACACTTTCAAACTACTCGTACAGGGAGTGGGGGCTGTATTTCCCGACATAAATGTCACAGCAGTTTGCGATTACTATCTGTCAGGTGTGGACACCGGGAGCTCCGATGCACTTAAGGTGGCTTTCTATGAGTTTTTTGGTGATTTACTCGTGAAGTGTCCGACATATGTGTTCGCCCGACAGTACGATCAACTGTCGCCCAAATCTCGGGTCTATTTCTACGAGCAGTCATACCAGAGCCGTAACGCTTGGCTGTGGGGCTGTGTTGGCCCACAGATGGGTGTCTGTCACGGGGCGGACCAGGAGTTTGTATGGGGTGTACCGCTTGTCTATCCCAACACTTTTACCGATACTGACCGCCAGTTTGCCCGATATGTGACTAAAATGTGGACCGATTTCGCCAAAACTGGGTTCGTGTGTAGTGTTAACACATGTGTTTGTTTTGAATTTAATTTTCTTGTTTAAATATTTAAATTTTGATAATTTGTTTATAGTGTGCCCGATGCTAATTGGCCACAAATTATTAACAATGATGATGATATCACGGGTGTTAAAGATCTTAACCCTATTAATCCAAATCGTGTTTTGAATAATTTTTATCATGCTAATTGTAATCCCAGAATAAACTGGACATCAACGTGACCCAATTGTCACCCTAAGTCCTAAACGTACTACACATACAATAATTGTTACTAATTATTAGTAAATACAAACTCACATTAAAAATACACTATTATTGGGGAGTATTTGTGATGAATATTTGTTCCTTTTTATTTTATAATTTTAATTTTTTAAATTTATGCTTGATTCTGAACATTTTGATTTATAATTATTGATAACTACAAAGCTTTTAAAGTTTTATTTAGCACTTAATATGAGATTACTTTGTAAAAAAACAATTTGCTTATTTGATATATATTTTAGATATTTTGTATTTTACCCAGACAATAATTTTTATGTAATTATTATATTTATTATTTTAAACGTTATTTTGCTGTTTAATATCTAAAGTACTTATTTATTAAAATAATATTATATTGATTTAATTGTAAATGATTTGTCTTTGAATTAATGTTTCCAATATAAATTTTTCTCTACATTTATTGATCATAATATGGTTTGGAAATACATATTTATATTAAAATTATATTGATTATTTTTGTATATAATGATACAAAGTAATTATCTGATTAATGTATCTATTTAATTATTATTATTTATTTATATTGATAGTTTGTCAACATAATAACTGTAAGTAAATCAATAGTGTCTAATTAGTATAAAAATATTTATGATAATAATACGTTATATAAGTAACATTAGATGAATACATTATTATACAATCTAGACAGGATATAACGGTATAGACAATGCAAGCATTTGAATTTCATTATGTTTGTTTTTGTAATAAACCAAATTACACAATACACAAAACGCTAACGAAGTAGAAACATTATTGCCATATATTCGAGATTACTTTATTTTAGAGTCCGTTATATTCTAAATAAACTGTTTATTTTTTGAATAATAATAGTGTTTTTTACAGATAATATTGTACTATCACAATAAATTATCAACTATCTACAGATACTGTATATAATTAAATTCATAAATTATCTAACTTATATTTTAACATTCAGTAAATTCAGATAACAAACATTATTTTAACACAAAGCATTATTTCCAAGTTTTATATAAAATTTAATAATGTCAAACTCTTCTGTACACACACCATCAATTATTCAATAATTTGAAAAATTACATAACATAACTTTTTAATATATATTTAATATACATTTTAATATGTAAAAATTATATAACAATTATTAAGAATTGTGAGTGTGACGATAAAATCATATAAGTAAATACATAATTATTTTAACATTTGATTAATTATAGAGAAAAGTTGCAATAGTTATATTAATGCTAAATCTATGACATGAATTATATTTAAATTATATCATTATTCTCTTTTTTACAGGTAATATTATCATAATAAATTATTATGTACTGTAAAAATTGCATTCATACATTATTTATTTTATATTTATTGAGCATATCTAAGCATTATTGAGTATAATCGAGCAAATTTAAACAACAGATATCAAGCAACATTTGTAAATCTATATAAAATTTAATGAAGCCAAACACCTCTGTAAACACACTATCAATTGGATATTTCTTTGGATTAATTAGTTATTCTGTATATAATCAATCTAAATACGTTCAAACAAAGTGCAATATACCATGCACAGAAAGAGGATTCATAACAGTTATTAAACGCGAGGTTAAATTATTAAATTAATTTTTTATTATAAATTATTAATCATTATTATCTATAATTTTAAATAGGATTTGATCTTTGGTCGTGATTTAACATTAATTGAATATCTAGTGTGTAAACTATGTTTTACAATTGGAAATCAATTTATTGATAAGGTAAGTTTTAATTATTTTAGTAAGATAGCAGGTGATTGGTAGACAATAGTGATTAAAAAATTATAATCTTGAAATGCCGGTGCCGCTTAAGTGCCGTTAGTGCCGGTAGTGCCAGTGATGCCGGGGCTGATAGAGCATGTGCAGGCATGTTAATTGTCACATGCACAGATATAAAACATGCAATTTTGCTGTATTTATATATACGTTTGAAATTAGTACACATTTAAATAAAATAATTTAATTGTTGATTTAATTATAATTAAAGATGCTAAAAATACTAAACCAAGCGATGCCTGTTCATTGCAGGTACCGTCAGAACTAGTGCCGTGCTAGTGCCGCGGCACCGGCATTATCGTTTTAAGATCGTTTTACGAACGAGAATTTCAATCACTAATTGACAAGTTTAAAAAGAAAATATTTATTATTTGACAACGACTAGATCGAATATAATAAAATGAGTTTAATTCGAAACAGTATTATAGGTTATTTATTCTGTTTAATGCCGAATAAATATAAAGTACGATGGGCAAAATGGCCCAAGCTGGCACCCGGGATTTGACCATGCCATGTGAAAGTACATCATATAAGGAGTCATCTGTTATAATCCATATAGCTGAGCCACCTCGGGTTTGGCCGCAGTGACCACTTTTATCTGGAAATTTCACCATATTTAATACTAACATGTTATATATGAAATCGATGTAGAATTGAATGTAGAACTAGAATATCGCAATATCAGATAAGTGGGGTCAGTAGTTATGACGTTATTTACTTAAAACGGTTGAATTTTAGATAAAATTTATAAAATAAACTATTATTCCTTAATCCCTACTTTCTACGCCAACAGCACGCACATCCCAATACTACTTTCAGCACTCTTGACTCAATAGTCACTACCACTAATCGCGGACCAAAAATAAATTACAATTACATTAAATCTATGCATTCGATCGAGATGGTATTACGATATTCAACTTCTGCGTTAAATTCTACATCGATTTGATATATAATATGTCAGTATTGGATAAGTTAAAATTCTTAATAAAAATGGTCACTGTGGCTGAACTAAAGGTCGGATGATCATATGAAAAAGAGCAATTTACTCTATGTTTGACGTAGTTCAATGTCATACAACAAATCGTTCTTAATTTATAAAAAATTTCTAAAAACCAACTAACCTATGTCCCCATTACAGATTTTATAAACCCTCATTACAGATCTGCACATCCTCCTTTTGATAAAAACTAGACATTTGAAACATTATTTTAAACTTTCAAGTTTTGATTCAGCTCATTTTGTTAACAAGTAAAGTACTTTAAATGAAACCAAGATATCTTCACGAATTGTCTCTATTCTGGTAAAGTAGAGCCCAAAAAATAATTTAATCGTAATATTTTTTGCTGTACCTCATGCGGGGCGGTGTGGGAGGAAAACTTGAGATGCATTATGTTAAGGCAAAGTGTGTGCAGAGCGGATGCACACTTGCAGGGGCACAGTCTATGCCTCAACATTATGCATCTCAAGTTTTCAAACGCCTCCCACACCGCCCCGCATGAGTTACAGCAAAAAATATTACAATTAAATTATTTTTTAAGCTCTACTTTACCAGAATAGAGACAATTTGTAAAGATATCTTGGTTTCATTTAAAGTAGTTTGCTCGTAAGATAATATTTGGATTACTGATTAGCGAATGCTTATTGGCGGACTTGATATTCTAAAATATTTAAACACTATCAAGTTATTTTAAGTTTTATATTAAACCGCCTTCTTAAATTTTATCCAGTTATTGTCAAATGACAATTCACTTTTGTCAGCAAATGACATTATAGTAGTAACATTCATTCAAGAAAACATTTTTAAAATAATTATTAGTACTGTATTATTTATAATAATGACAATAATTTTCAATAGCAGTGATAATTTTTGAATTATAATTACATAATAGCGCAAAATATTATACTATGACGCTGGTAAAATTGATAAATGGTCAAATGACTCAAATACTGTTACAATCCATCAAGGTTATTCAGCAAAAATAATATCAGGAATGGTTTTAAAAACAGATCAATCATTTTTTAAATTTAAAGGCCTATTTGACTTTAAGGTACTGTATATTTCCAGTTGTAATTATATTAATTTATTATCTAGACAAATTTGATTGTTTAATTATACTGCTTTTAGATTTGGTCATTAATATTAATACTTATTATTATATTGCCTTTTTTGTTCAAAAAATTAAATAAACTTGCTTTAAATATTATCACATTATATGTTGATATGATTAGAAGTTTAACAACTCAAGGTGACATTTGTTTAGCACGGTATAAATTCAGAAATAATTCAAACGACAAATTAAATCAATTCACATTTACCATGCTATTAACTATATGGATAATCATGGTATCAATACTCACCAAATCGTTCACAAGTGTGTTATTGAATACATATTTCAAAATAAATTCTGTACCAATGATTGAGACATTGGATCAGTTGTGCCACCACAAGTCTATGCCTATTATCACGACCGGTACCAGAATAATCGATGATTTATATAAAAGCAATTATATTGATAAACAATCAAAAATTAATTTATTAAAACGCAATGAAGTGTTCCGAAATACAAAATATTACGACATATCATTTACTGATATAATTAACAATAAAGTAGTTATGATTGCAGATTCTAGAATTAGCGTTCGTTTTTACAATATTCACGCAAATGAACATGACAAGTTTTCAATATCAACAAATAGTTATCTATATTATTACAAATTTGTAAAACTTGCGGAAAAACTACCATCTAGAAAACATTTATTATTTGCGTACGTGATACTAAATAATTACTTACAGTATAACATGAGTTGGATGAAATAAGCATTTTAATCAATAAAATTTTAAAACCTAAACTTCCTTCCCATAGACATAATTACCTTAGATTAAAATCTTTATTGCTCGAATATTATAATAGATAATTAAATTTTGTAAAAAGCATATAATACTTCAATAAACGCTAGTTTAGCCCATAGCCTACCTAAACTACTAGACGGATTTTAATAATTCTTTTTGTATATTAAACATCAGTTTTCTCTTAACAAATTTTGTTTTGGGACCATCACTGCCACTCTTCAAGTTTGACCTGTAGTATAGTAGTTTGCAAATGTCCCGATATTTAGCATACCACGTGGCCAAAATATTTTGATAAGCTATTGGGATAAACTAGCGTTTATTGAAGTATTATATGTTTTTTACAGAATTTAATAAAGAAATAACGATTTTAATTTGTGCAAGATATTGACACGTCGGCCAAAAGCCCGACGCTCTGCGCATCGTCTCAGCGGTGCTCTCCGCCCGTCTCGGGCCTTCAGTCTTGATGGGTAGCGACACATCGCGTCCGATCCCCGTCTGCTCCCGTCCGGTCCTATATTTAGCATACCACGTGGCCAAAATATTTTGATAAGCTATTGGGATAAACTAGCGTTTATTGAAGTATTATATGTTTTTTACAGAATTTAATAAAGAAATAACGATTTTAATTTGTGCAAGATATAATGACCGGCCCTTTACATAGATTTCTATGAAATACTATTTAAGTCTATAAAATAACATGGGTAATGCCAAAGTTATGATAATGATAATTTTAGGAGTATAGTTAATTCTATAATAATATTAATTTACAGTGAAAGCTGTATTAATAAATGGGAATAAACGGGTGTCAACAAGAGTCCCACTGTGAGTACAATAAACCCCTTTGAATAAAAATTGAATCTATATTCGCTATATAATCATAGTAATAGTGATGGTATCTATGGTGACTGTATGGCTATGTCGTCACAATTTGATTAATGCTACAACATAATGACCGGCCCTTTACATAGATTTCTATGAAATACTATTTAAGTCTATAAAATAACATGGGTAATGCCAAAGTTATGATAATGATAATTTTAGGAGTATAGTTAATTCTATAATAATATTAATTATAAGGATAATTTTGAATTAATTTTATAAATTTATTACCTGTACGCTATTTAGTTAAGGCGCGACTCTTGCCAATGCAAAATTTTTGGATAACGTGTATTTTAAGGGCAAAACTGTTATGGTTAATCAGTCTATTGTGTCAAACTCATAAATACTGTACTCAATTATTTACTTTATTTCAGTTTTAAACGTATTGTGGAATCTGGATTTGATATACATGACAATAAGATTCGAATTATATTTATACTTTTATGTCGCTCAAATGGAAAGATTTTATCCAATATTATTAATGGCAATTCATTAAATTTAACTATATTAAACTTCTTTCAAATTAACGTAGATGAAGTTTTTCGTAATGATGTAGTTATAATAGTTGTTGGTTCAACTGTATCAATAGTTTATTTTGCATCAGAAATCGTATATTCATTTATTAGATGTAAAATAAGAAACATTCGATAATGCGTTGTTCGCAAAGTACGTTCGCACTTGGGGGGAAGGGGGGTGTCGGACCAAAGCGAACTTTTGCGAACGAGGGGGAGGGGGGTATAGAGACTTTGTGAACGTTCGCATTTAAATCATTTGATGAATTTAAGGGATTAATTTTTAGCAGCGTTAATCTTTTGATAACAACTATATCTAACACCTGTTCCTATTAATAACAGCTTTTATTCAAAGTGACAACAAGTTTTGAATAAATATTTGACTTTTGAATATAAACAGTTTTCATTGCGGAGGGGGGGTAATAGGGACATGCGAACGTACTTTTTTTTAACGTACTTTGCGAACAACGCCTAATTGTAAATAATTTGCAACAATAAATATTATTGTAATTAATCGTAATTATTTGTCAATAAAATTGTAATAACAATTCATAGGATTAACATAATCCTATAAACTTAGCATTACCCGTTATAATCTTGTATAATAAATCTGTTATTATGAATGTAAAACTACTTTATTGACTTAACCTATGGATCAAACCTGTAATGCCAAGACTCTAAGCCTAAAACTTAGTTCCTATAACGTATGACACTATAACCTATACTAATATTAAAAACTGTTTCATTAAATATATCCCACTATCCATTTCACTTACATATTAAATTAATTTCACTTGAAATCCAATCAATATTTTAGTTATGCCCTTAAAAACCAAATACAGTGGACTTTCGATATAGTAAAGCTTTGTACAGTGTTATTTCCATATAGTGTACTAAATATTTCAATTTGGCGGCCACTGTATACCTGTAATGTTATTTATGTTCCATATAGTGACTCTCTATAGAGTGTATATTTGATATAGTGGTCGAAATTTTGCTATTTTTGGTTATATGTTACTGTTTTTAATCTC